TTGAGACTGCAAATGCTGCTATCCTAAGGCTCACCAAAGAGATTGCATGGATGGAAGAAGTTTTAGCTGCGGACTCTTCTTTGAGAATTGGTCCTCCTTCTACTTATGCTGACAGGGTCTTTTTGAATGAGATAAATATCGCTGTGAACAGAACTGAGCAGAATTATCGGGATTACATGTTCCGCGGAGCCCTCAAGACTGGGTTTTATGATCTTCAAGCTGCCAGGGATGAGTACAGGTTTTCATGTGGTTCTGGGGGTATGAACCGTGAATTGGTGCTGCGTTTTATGGATGTGCAGACGCGTCTCATTACTCCAATCTGTCCACACTATGCAGAATATGTCTGGAGGGAACTTTTGAAGAAGGAAGGGTTTGTGGTAAATGCAGGATGGCCTGTGGCTGATGCTCCAGATCTGACCCTCCAGAGTTCCAATAAGTATTTGCAAGATTCCATTGTTTTAATGAGGAAGCTGTATGAAAAGCAAAGGTCAGGTTCAAAGAAAGCCAATAAGAAGGGTGCTCCAGTTACAGCGGTGACAGAAAACGTGCAGCTACCATTTGGCTTGATATATGTAAATGAGCAATTTGATGAATGGAAGGCAGAGTGTTTGAGGATACTGCAAAGTAATTTTGACAGAGATACTCGCACTTTTGCTCCAGACACGGTGATAATGGAGGCATTGCAGAGAAGTTCAATTGGTCAGACTAAAGATTTTAGACAAACCCAAAAGCTTTGTATGCCTTTCATGAAGATGAAGAAGGATCAGGCAGTTGCACTAGGGGCTCAGGCCTTAGACTTGAAGCTACCATTTGGAGAGATTGACGTCCTTCGAGAGAACCTGGATTTAATTAAGAGACAAATCGGTCTTGAAGAGGTAGAAGTTTTGTCTGCTTCTGATCCTGATGCTCTTGCTAAAGCTGGTTCACTTGTTAAATTGGTGGAGCAGAATCCTCCATCCCCTGGAAGCCCGACTGCCATCTTCTTGTCCAGGTAATTATAATCCTTTTGTTACATATCTGCTCTAAAGCACACACCCACACACACACACACACACACACACACACACTTCTGCTCTAAAGTTCAATGCTTTTACTCAACAAAGCATTGAACTTTACAGTATATATAATATACATGATATTAAAAAACGAATTCTACTTTTCTGCTTCACATTCATGGATTTTAATTTACATTATACTAAAAAGGGGTTTATATAAACTAAACCCTCCAGTAGAAATGAGGATTAATTGTTCCTCCCCCACCCTGTAATCTCTGGAATCAGATTGGAAGAACCAATCATCAAAAAGCCTTTCTGCACTTCTGTGATCTGCCCTGTTGTGTGTTATCTGGAGGCAATTTTGATTTCCCAGGTTTCAGACATTAATCTGTCACGTCTGTTCTCTGCTGATGTGGATATACTTGAAGTGTAATGTGTAATATTGCAGTGTAATTTGTCACATTATGTTGCACTGATCTAGATATGTTCTATTAAGGTTGGCATTACGAGAAAATTATTGTTGGTTTTATAGAATTTAATTTTTAATAGTAATAAATGTATTCTTCATGAATGGTTTTGCTTTATGATGTTTGAACCTCATTTCTGTTTCTTCTCTTTCATGCCAATAGGTCGTAGGAAACTCCGCTCTCAAACATGGGCAATGAACAATTGAGTTGACATGCTGCTGGGAGAATTGTTTGCAATGAAGAGAAGACTTGTCTCTAACTGTGATGATGAACTGGGTGAGATTCTTTGAGAGTGATGTGTCATATTTGAATATCAGATTTTAGTTTTGTTTTCAAGTTTTGAACTTTGTTCTATTGACTTGTCTTGTATCTATAGACTTGTGTTGTATCTACATGTGATATGGATATAACTTCTGCTTTAAAATTAATTTGAACTATACTATCAATCAAATTGTTACATTACATCTTGTTTCGTACCTTGGTTTCGAAAATTTCGTTGTAAAGACCAGAAAGAGTACTATAGTTTAAAACATACCAATTACAGAAGCTTAAATAGGGTACTATAGTTTTCATGGGGAAAATCTAAATAGGTTTGATAGCATAGTTTAAAACATACCAATTACAGATGCATAAGGGGCAATTTTTTCATGGAAAACAGGGCTGTAGTTTTCTGCATTTGCATAATAGTCAGCCTGAAATCGATTCGAATGTTTTTGAGTAAAATCATGTAACAAACATGCACAAAAAGAGCTTTGAGGGAACTCACTATACAACCATATACTTGGAAGACCCCTTTTGATGCGAGTGTAGGTTGAGCAACATCCTTGGCCTAATCAGATTGAAGAATGATGAAACTAACACCAACAAGGCATGACACATATTTCTTCAGGTCAGTGGAAGAAGGCGATTAGGAACTCGAAATGCCTTTTGAAAATCAAACATGAGATTATATAAGCAAAACTACCTTAAGCACCATTGTTACATGAAACATTTGTGCAGCAGTTTAATATTTACCATCCCGAATAGCTCCGAAAGTCTGCTTGGATCCACAAAAGTATGAGGAAGAAACTTAAGTATCTCTTGTGCACCAGAAGAAGCAACAGGAAAGAAAGTTATATTATATCAGATAAATCTTGATTCTTGATAATAAGTTATAGTAATTTATGATAAAAAACAAATCACTTCAAAATTGAGTGATACTAAAACTTGTGCTCTGCATAGAATGTACCATTTCCTGAACCCGTGAGGACAAAGACCAGAGGGCAGATTTCTGATGGCAGTCCAAGACTTTCTATCTCTTCACCCGCAGAAATTACTGCAGACTTGGCAGCAGCCACCGACGAATACATATAAGATGCCCCCAATGAAAGGAACGGTGTTGACATATAGAAAAAATCCAGCTCATCAACTTTGCATACATTGGAAGTAAACTAAAGCTTGAAAAGATTTTCCCCTTTATTTCCAAAGGGTATAGCCCTTTTTTTATTATAAAAAATAGTATAGCCGTTCGGCTATACTACTTTTGACACGCGGCAAAGCTGGGCCCAGGCGCCTGGCGCTTTTTTTTAATACAAAATAACTAGTATAGCCGGGCGGCTATACGCGTGTTTTTTATAAAACGAGTACAGCCGACCGGCTATACTATTTTTGACACATGGCAAAGCAGGCACAAGGCACCAGGTGGGGCCTTTTTTTTATAAATAGCACAGCCGGTGGCAGTTCTACAATTTTTTATTATTAAAAATAGTATAGCCGCGGCTATACTATTTTTAACACGTAGCGAAGCGGCGCTAGGCGCCAGGGGTGGTCTTTTTTTATTATAAATAGTATAGCCGAGCGGCCATACGTGGGTTTTTTTTTAATAAAAATAGTATAGCCGACCGGCTATACGCGGGGTTTTTTTTATTATAAAAAGAGTATATCCGCCCGGCTATACTATGGTTTTTTATTATTAAAAATAGTATAGCCGGCTATACTCGGGATAATTTGACCACCAAATTGATAATCAGAACCCAATAACACTAGCAAAATGTTAAAGGGTAATGTAGGAAATGGAGCATACTCTGTCCCAACCCATGCATGACGTCAATAAAACCCGCTCTACCAGCATACTTTCCAAATGCAAGCAGTCTTCTCCCATTGTCCCCGACGTCGTAATGATAAGCTCATAATCATATAGGGACACCCTTTCAGCTAGGATATATTCACCACAGAGACAGTGTGTTAAATTGATAAAATGAAGCAAAACAATGTTATGAAATAGCTTACCTTGTGCAAGAGTGGCATGTTTTCCTTTTGGGCCTTGTGAGTGTGGGAGAAAAATACATAGGCTCCATCAGGACGAATCATCTCCAACTTTATGACCAATTTGGCAAGTTTAATTTTGATGCTTGCTATGCTGCAAAGCAAAGCAGGAAAAAAAAAAGAGTGTTAAATAGGAACCTTTGGTTTTTTGATGCCCATATGAGACCGCATTCTGACAAGTCCTCAGAGATTTCACAGCCTGTTGGTTTTAGTGTATAATCTGACTAAGAGAGGCCCACTTTATTAAACAACATTTTTGAGGGCGTAGTTTAGGATCAGGGAAAAACCAAGGAGAGGAGATAATGATTGGAGGCCAAAAGATTAAAATACTTCCACAAATTCTCTCGTTCCATTCTCTCTTTTTTATTGGACTAGATCCGTTGGCAACTACTAACTTTTAAACATTCAAGAAATGCCAAAATTTAAAAAATAAATGTTGCCATATCATATAATATAAATCATGGTACACATACACATCACATTAATGTTTTGATCCTTCATATTTTGTTTTTTGATTTATTATTCACATAGCATGCCATATTAACTCCTTGTTGTAAATGTAAGTTGTTTTTCCGAATGACAGACCATGATGATTTCTTGCATACTAATAATTCCTCTTTTTTTTGGTTGTTCATTCCTCTAATACCTACAAATTATTTGATACAATAATGCTAGACAGGCAGCAGTGGCGGATCTAACAAGACAATACAATAATGATTTCTTGCATACTAATAATTCCTCTTTTTTTGGGGGCGAGTGAAGTTGGAGAAACAGGACAATACAAAAATTAAACGTTTAAAAAACTATTGAACCGTTGGTATTAACACTGGGCGCAAAAACATATAAACAACTTGCAAGTTGGAGAATCAAAAACATTGGGAGATTAAATTTTGACCGAAGAAAACTGGATTAGGAACATTTTAAAAACAATTGGACCGTTGGTGGTAACATGTTAAAACGGTCAAATTAGTAAAATAAAAAGAAAAAGGAAAAACAAAATAATGGTACCGTCTTGAAATTTGTTATAAAAACCAGAGCTGGCATGGCAGTGAGGATTATTACTTCACCAAGCATTTTTCAGTCTTACCACTAGCTTTCAAGCGCTACTTGCTTAGATCATATTTCCTGGTTGTTTGGTCAAGAATCATATACTTCCCAGCTGTGCCATTTGGATTTCATATTGTCCCTTTCGTTTTTCTACCACCTTTCAGTTTCTAACGCCAACATTACATCAATGGCTGAAGCACTCGTTTCCGTGGTCCTAGAACAGTTGGTTTCCCTCACTCGTAAACAGATAGAAGAAGAGGTGAGGCTGGTCGTGAATGTTGAAAGAGAAGTTGAAAATCTCATCTTCCATTTCAATGCTATTCAAGCTGTGCTCCAGGATGCAGAGGAGAGGCAGGTGAAGGAGAAGAGCGTCAGAACCTGGCTGCAGAATCTGGAGGATGTGTCGTACGACATAAACGAGGTCTTGGATGAGTGGAACACTGAAATTCTCAAGCACCAAATTGAGAAAGAAGAAGAGAAAGAAGGTAAAAATGTTGCCCTTACAAAAAGAAAGGTATGCTTCTTTATTCCTTCCCCCAGCGTTTGTTTTGGTTCAATTGGTAAGGTAATTATGCGTCGTGACATTGCTATGAGAATAAAGGAAATAAATGAAAAGTTAACTGAGATAGCCAATTTAAGAGAAAAGTATAACTTTCATGAGAACACAATTAGAGCCACTGAGAAACTTGAACATGTTGAAACTTGTTCTTTTGTCCAAGTGTCTAGTATAATTGGTCGTGAAGAGGAGAAAAATAGATTAATGAGCATGTTGTTAAGTGAGAGTAGTCAACAAGGGAAGAGCCCATTTGTTGTGATCCCCATTGTGGGGATGGGAGGATTAGGAAAAACTGCCTTTGCCCAGTTAGTCTATAATGATGAAAATATAAAAACTCATTTTGACACTAGAATATGGGTTTGTGTATCAGACCCTTTTGAAGAGATCAAGATTGCCAAAGCCATTGTTGAAGTTCTAAATAAAGGTGATGGTCGAATTCATTCAACTAGTTTGCAACCTTTGTTGGAATGTATAAATGAATATATTAGTGGTAAAAAGTTTGTCCTTGTCCTAGATGATGTGTGGAATCCAACCATTAGTAATTGGGAACCATTAATGGGAGCTTTACAAAATAGTGCTATAGGCAGTAGAATATTGGTGACCACGCGAAAAGAGACGGTTGCTACTGTGATGGGAGCAACCGTTGATCACGTAATCCATTTGAACATCTTGAGTGATCAAGGTTGTTTGCAATTATTCAATAAAATTGCATTCTTTAATAGAGAAAGAGATGATCAGCTTGAAGATATTGGGAGAAAAATTGTAAAAAAGTGCAATGGTTTGCCTCTTGCTGCAAAGACCTTAGCTAGTCTCATGCGATATAAGAAAACCAGAAAAGAATGGGTAGATGTTTTGGATAATAAGATATGGGAGTTAGAAGAAGTTGAACAACAGGTTTTTCGATCACTATTCCTAAGTTATTATGAGTTGAGTCCAGCAGTTAGACGTTGTCTTTTATACTGTGCTGTTTTTCCAAAAGATTATGAATTTGAAAGAAATCAGTTGATTGAGTGTTGGATGTCACAAGAATATCTTAATATGAAAGGTGATAAGGAAAAAGAAAGAATCATAGGCCAAAATTACTTTGATAACTTAGTGATGCGTTCTTTTTTCCAAGATTTTGTTAAAGATGATAACGATGATGATATTATAGGCTGCAAAATGCATGATATTGTGCATGACTTTGTACAGTTTCTCACCAAAAATGAATGTTTTATTATGGAGGTGGCGGAAAGTTGCAAAGAGAAAAACATGATAGTCAATAATAAGGTTCGTCATTTGAACATAATGTCAACATACAATGATTCGTTTCCTGTTTCAATCTACAACTGCAAAGGATTACGGACTTTGGTAATTTCTACTTTGAAAATTCTTCCTTTACCCTCGGACTCATTTTCAAAATTGAAAAGCATTAGAACATTAAAGTTGAATGAAAACTCAATCGAAGAAGTTCCCGAAAGTATTGGTGGACTAGTACATATGCGGTATCTCGATTTAAGTCAAAATGAGGAATTGGAAGAATTACCCAATTCTGTGGGTAATTTATTCAATCTGGAAACATTGCGTCTAATTTTGTGCTGTGGACTCGTAGAACTACCGGTGAGTTTAAGAAAGTTGGTTAACTTAAAGCATCTTTATATTTCGGGGTGCATGGATCTAAAAGTACCAAAAGAGATTGGAAGATTAAGAAATCTGCAAATCTTAGATAGCTTGTATCTTCGAGGGGATGATGAAGGAAGTTTGAAATTAGGGGATTTGGGAAACTTGGAGCTTCAAGGGAGCCTTTGGATAGGAAACTTGAAGTCAGCGAAAGATGGGAGAGAGGCTAAAAATGCAGAGTTGGGGAACAAGAAGAACCTGCTTCATTTGAGTCTACAATTTCGGGAGTACCTGAATGCCTTTCAAGAAGAACCTGTTTCTGGAAGTGAAATTGTAGATTTGGAGAGAGGTGGGCCGGATTTAAAGGATGGAGAAATACTGAATGCCTTTCAAGTGCATACAAATCTGGAGTCGTTGCTTATCTATGGATACCACAGTACCACCCTGTGTCCCAGTTGGATGATGAACTGTCATAATCTGAGAAGGCTTGATTTCTTTCGTTTTCCATTTTGTGGGGTTTTGGCTCCTCTGGGGAAACTCCCGTCCCTTGAATATTTAGGGATACATATGATGAAGAGTGTGAAAAAGGTGGGAGTTGAATTTTTGGGAATAACAGGCGAAACACCGCAAACATTAATAAAGTCGTTTCCGAAATTGAAAAAACTCCAACTTGCGGACATGGTGGAGTGGGAAGAATGGGAAGGAGTAGAAGAAGAGGATTCTAAAATTACAATAATGCCATCTCTTTTATACTTAGAAATCGTCGGCTGCGATAGGTTGAAAGCACTGCCAAACTTCCTTTGGAAGACCCCGCTGCGGGAATTGAGCATCTTGGGTTGTTCGACTCTTGCACAATGGTTCGAGACAGAGTGGGTGAAAAAGGCGTCTCAAGTCCAAAACATCCAAATTAATGGCGAGTTTGTGAAAAAAGACGGACGAGTTTCAATGGAGGATTGATGATGGATCCGATCCACCTCTTTGGGCTAAAATGGTAATTTTGAACACCTTCCTTGTAATTCTTTAAATAATTTTATTTAAGTTTCTAGTTGCTACCATCTTCAGATTTACTTATTTTCTTTAATTTTATATATCCAGCTTAATTATAATTTATATGAGAAGAAGAAATGATGCAGTTGGTAGCTTCGGTTGCTGTAATTAACTTGGACAGAGTCAGAGTGTCATGAGATCCATACAAGACTTGTTCATCTCCAAGGTATCTTAATTTGCCTCAAATTTTACAAATTACCTCACTTTCTTAACGCACCTGCAAAACATTTCTGCAGGAGCAGCAGATTAAGAGGCGCATGTGGAGTTGATTTGATCACTTTGCTCAAACAAAGAATTGACGTTGCTAAAGCAAACAAGTTATAGTTTGCTCAATCAAGAAAAGTGCCGCAGAAAAGCCAATATAAGTGCTCCAGCGACATTTTCCAGTCATGATGTTGCAAAGCCGCTCGAGCCACGCCAACGTAGTTTTTGTTTCTAAGTTGCATACTTGATTTTGGAGCTCTTTTTAGTCTTTCCACCCCTGTTTCTCTCTAGTTGTGTCTGGCAAGACCGCTACTACAGTGGATAGGATTTTGATTGGTTTTGGAATTTGGAACTAAATTAGATTAGATTCATGAAATAGTTTTCTCACTCTATTTTTATTCAAGGTTTAAAAATCTGAGGTCCTTGGGATTGTGTGCAGAATCAACAGATGCTGTGACATTGCTATGAGAATTAAAGAAATAAATGTTAGATTAATGAGCATGTTGTTAAGCGAGAGCAGTCAACAAGGGAGGAGAGGAGCCCATTTGTTGTGATCCCCATTGTGGAGGATTAGAAAAACTGCCTTTTTCCATTTAGTCTATATTATAATGATGAAAATATAAACACTCATTTTGACACTAGAATATGGGTCTGTGTGTCAGACCCTTTTGAAGAGAACAAGATTGCCAAAGCCATTGTTGAAGCTTTAGATACAAAAAAATGATAATCTAATTAATTCAACTAGTTTGCAACCTTTGTTGGAATGTATAAATGAATATATTAGTGGTAAAAAGTTTTTCTTTGTCCTAGATGAATATATTACCGGCATACCACTATTTTGTTATTTTAGGCCAATAATATTATGCCACGTGAAAGTGTTATCACACCTGTCATAGTGTTATTGGCTAGAAATAGCAAAATAGTACTATTCCCGTTTCATAAAAATCTTTCTCAATGGGCAGACGTCTAACATGGTTAGATGGCCGAACCAAATAATTTCTCTCTATTGTGTGAGTGCACGTGAAATTTCCCAACTTCTATTTTTCGGGTCGATAAAATTTCCCCAACTTGAAATACGACAAACTACATGTTTTTTTAGTTGATAGGATTAACCACATGAAAAGCTACATACACATGCATTACATATTTTTTTGGCAGGAAGAAGCATATATACATTTTTGTCATTATGCTTTCTGGTATGAAAAATAGTTGCATTTTTTTTTGTCTAATCATTCGCCAAACAACTGGGACAATGAATAAGTACGGAAAGCTTTGGAACATGGAACGTGTGCTTTAATCTTCGCTTCCTTTCTTTCTCTCTCAAATTTCTATCAAAATGGCTCGCATTCTATTCCAGAAAAGACCAAACGAAGAATGAATTTATTATTATATGTTCGTCTTGGGCCATAAAGATTTCAGCAGCCCATATCAGATTTATCCATTGCTTGCAAACTGACCCAAAATGAAAAAAAGAAAAAGAAGAAAAGGTCCAGTTCTTTTTTATTGAGGTTTTTTCTTTTTATTTATTTATTTATAATTATATGATTCAATTTTCTTTTTATAATTTCTAAATTGGCCGTGGTGTGTACGAATTATCAATTGTTTAGCTGCATAAAAAACGAATCTTTTTTACCTTTTGAGTATTGAATATCCTTTAATATCTAAAAAGAAATCCAACTCAAGCATAAAATAAAATAAAAACAGATTATACAAAATCAATTATTTTTTTTATATAAACGATATAGAACCCTATTCATATTTATATCATGCAACTACATTCTTAAAGAGAGGAAAGGTATACTAAGACACCCGTTGCTGTACAATACACAAGATTTTCAATTTTAATTACATGTGGTGCAGGTTCAAATGAATTTCACAATTTCTATTGAGTAGAAATTTGTTTTCACGGTAATTTATGTCATTTACAAAATTTGACATACATAATTCAAACACTGAAATTATTAATTGACAAAAATTTATTTCCGTCATTTAATAATTCTCTGCAACTTTCAATTCCTTCCTCCAAACAGAGGGTTAGCTAAATCCCGAGTTATTTTTCTCCATCTAAACGGAGGGTAAATGGATGGAATTAATAGAGACAATGAATCAAATATGACAGATGAAGAATTAATTTGCAAAAACACATGAATTGACTACTCAGGGCAAAAGGACCTGTGGGAACCATCCCTGTGACTAGGAATATTGAAGTGCCTCAACCTCCCTTGTTGCTTTTTCATGTAACCTTCACAAAGGAAAGCCTTGGAGAAGTTATCTTCAACAACCCTATTCACATCATGCACAAACACATCAGTCTCTCCATCCTCTTTGTTCCTAGCCATCATCCCAGCTGTGTATATGGCGCTCATTCGTCCCGGTGCTTCATCGTGATACCCTGTGGGCGCATCCACCATAATCAAATCCCATTTGATATCGTAAACCTCACTAGGCAAGCCCTTGAGTGCCAGCTGGCACATGCTATACCTAGGATCACCAACTGCTGTGCACTCGGGGCCCTTCCCAACGTCCATGAGATTGTCAGCCTGGTTCACCTTGCTGTCATATGTGACATGGTATGACTCCAACATGGGGAAACGGCGTTGGATTTGCTCGATCCACGACTCGTCCTCTTCAAGGAAAATCGTGCGCCCCCCGTGGTTGAGGGAGCTCCACATGAGGCTGTCGTGGCCTAGGCCGAAGACGAGGAAGTTGCAGGGTGATTTCTTGTCTAGGACCTTTGATGTGACTGAGATTTCTTTGAGGGTTTGCTGTGGGGTGATGGTTGAGGTTGTGTAATGGATTAGAGCTTTGGCTAGGGAGGGTGGGATTTTGTTGCAAGTCAATGGGGTGTCACATTTTGTTGATCTTTCATCATCCTCGGCTTCTTTCTCATCCAAGGGTACTTTTGGCAAAATGGTGGATTTTTCATTGGAGGAAGAAGAAGAAGAAGAAGAAGAAGAAGAAGAAGATGATGATGATGAATCAAAGCTTGACCTGAACACAAAGAGGACAACAAAAGCAAGGAAAACTCCAAGGAGGAGAAGCTTATAGTTGAAAGTTGGAATATGGGTTTTGGTTCTCATGCTGAAATGTATTCGCTTTTTTTGTTGTTGTGTTTTTTATGAGCATGGACAAAAATATGTTAAGAAGAAGTTGGAGCTCTGGGAAATATATATATATATATATATATGTGTAAGGTTTTTATTATATATTGTGGCATTTGTGAGTTGGAGGAAGAAAGGGACTGAGTTGATGAGAAGGCGTTGTGTTGTGTTGTGACAGATGCTTAAGCATGAAGGGAGAGGGAACTTCGGATGCATGATGAAGACATAAGAGCTACTATGATTCTTGGTGAAGCAAAACTAGTTAAGGTTGGTGGTAGATCTGCCACTTCCATTGGTTGCAGGTGCCATTTTTAAAATCAGTTTGGAGAAGCTATACATGTTGCATTTAACAGGTGTTGTTATCTTAGATATTAAACTCTATCTCATTGATGATGACGTTATTATAGGTTTCATCTTCAAGTACCCTGTTTTGGGGGATCAAAGTTTGGAAGGGGGAGGGGGAAGGTACCACTGGGGTTTGAATCCGAGAACACTGATTTGCAGGCAAGTATTCTTATCACTGAGTTATAGACCCGTTGGGTACTTCAATTCTTCAAAATATTACAATTCAATCATTTATTTGATTACACATGTGAATAAGGCTGTACCAAGCAAGTGGTAAAAAGAACAAAAACAAAAGGGGAATACTTCAACCAACAAAAGAAATTCTAAGGCAAGGCACGAAACGTGGATTATGGATAAAATATGGTAGGTACCAACTTCCTTAATAATAAAACATTAAAGCCATTGTAGGATCTGCAAGAAGAGTTCGAGTCATTTATAATTGCTTAAATATATGCACTTTTGTATTTCATTCCAAAAGAAACCTAAAAAAATGTGAAAAAGAAAAAGGAAAGAGCATTGTGCTGATGGGTTTGGAGTAGTAAGAACTGTCTTGTACATTGATTTGAACAAATACTGGCCTGTGATCACAAAACCTTTGACTTAGTGATATAACTTAGCCTTTACAAAGAATGAAATATAGCTGATTGAGCAGATCAGGTTTCGGCTGTGCACAGCTTGTCTCCAGCATCTGGACACCAAAGAGACCTCTCACCATCTGGCAATGAAACAATTTTCTGGTATGTCAATTACAAAAACCATCCCAAAGAAGATCACGAGTCGATGCCTGGGGATTTAATTTACTTCAAATTCAAGATTAACAATCTTTCTGAATCTCTCTAGCAAGTGATGATAGCATACCTTCAAAAAGTGAATATATATCTGATGTGATATAAACCAAAGAAGCTCCATAAATCCCATTTATCTTCTCCGTGGTGAGATTTGTCAAATTCCCGAGAGGAATATTTCTTTAATATCAGAGTGATGCTGTTCCAAAGGAGCTCTTGCTTTCAAAATTAAGCCAGTGTGACTTTCCCCTCTGTCATCACCTGCCATTTCTTACATGGTGAAGCAGGGATTCGGTTTGTCCATTGTCACTGTTGGCTTTCTTGGGTTTGTTCTTGTCCAGACGAGCTTTGCGGACAGCATGTTGTATTTGTTTCTCATGCTCTTTGAGCATCTCCTCAAGGTTTCCTCCAGGGGGCATCAACGGTCCAGAGTAGTGAATCCGGTTCTTCTTTGTAGCATAACCCTGATGCCAAACGCAAAATTATTTAGTCACATTCATGTTGAAGATTAAATTCTATAAGGGCGGTAAACCACTCAGTAAACTGCAAAAGAGCCAATTCAAGACATTTAACCAAAGATCTCAAATAAGCAAACATGGGGAAACATCGATGGTGTAAACTTTGGCTTCAGAAGCAAGAGTACGAGAGTTCCTATTTCTAAAAATAAAAAACAAAAATTTCATAACTTGAATGGTTTGCATGAAAACAAATTCAACGATCCCACATACAGCCACTTGACCAGGGCATCATGTGAAAAACCAAATTAATGGGTGGGGCCAGCATTTGCTCCAGATATCAGTGGAGTCAAATTTCAAAATAAAGCATGTGATAGATGAAAATAGTAAAATCCTTTACCGTTGCAGACTCCTTCCCTGATGGCTGTTCATCCTTCTTATGTGAAGACTTTGGCCTATCCAGAAAATTGTGGGACCAATCATGTTTTGCAGAGGAATCCCCGTTGTCTAAATGACTATATCTGGCATTAATACGCTCCTCCGGCCAGTGTGGATTTGCACTAGCTTCTACAACACCATCATATCGTGAATCACTTCGAACCGAAGCTGAATTGGAAAACCTGGACGACTGGGCTGCCCCACGATACATATAAGACTTCTCCACACCATTCCTAGACTGGCCAGATTGCGACATATTCCGAGAAGATCCAAATGCACTTGGGTGCATTGACTGGCCAGAATGGGAATAGCCATT